CTTGCTATAATTTCCTTCCTTTCTTCTTCTTTTCTCCTCCTCTTTCCATGTCATACCTATATCTTACCTATATCTACACACACCACTCAATTTTTCTTCAGTGGTTTTGAGGTACTATTTAATATCTTATATAAAATATAATGCATTAATTATATATTTACTATATGCAACACTTATTTTTAGGCAATACTTTAAAAACAGCAATGAGATCTAGTACTGCCAAATTATATTACAGATATATAATATTACAGAATGTTTAAACGGGACAATCTATCTTTACAGAGAGAATTTAATTTCATTGTTGCTCTGAATGGGTAGAATATTTTCTACAAATGTTAGGCATTATGAGGACAGGAACTGATCATGTTTGAAGATTCAAATGCCAAGGTTTTGGCATTTCCTTGCCTTTTGATAGGAACAACCCTACAATGGTGGTGAAGAGCAATGGTGGACCATAGCAGTCAGTCGAGTACGCCAATGAAGTTGATCTTCAGTGCTATCTTTGGCACATGGGTTGTGGGTTGCTTTCTGAACTAGAAAGTGGTTCTTGCTCCCCTTTCTTGACTTTTGAATGAGATTTGAATTAAACACTCTGTTCAAGGTTGATAGCCCAGCAAGTGCATACTATGGCAGTTGTGTTAATTGTGCCATTTCCATTTAAAGCTGTTTCTCCTTCTGTCATTTAACTGCCCAATGACCATTATTACAGATCAGCTATGAAAATTAGCTGTGCCCATTATAGTCTTAGACCCATACTTGGAAGCTAGTACTGAATTTTACAGCTATTTTATAAGTTTGACTTCCACATTATATTTATATTCACTCCAATGGAAATTTACAGTTTTACCGCTATACTGACATGATGCCTTCATCTGGTGTTTAGATGAGTAAGATATTCACTGAACGTTTCTCTATATGTCTGTCTATTGGATATTGTGTAGCTCTCTTACAATGTGTGTATGAGTGTATGAACTACACATTTGATTGTACTTGAATGGGGGAAGTTGAGGTGGAATCCAAGATAAGGTAAGATAACATCCACCCTTACTTTCAGGAATAACTAAACCATCTTGCTAAGCATTCAAACAGTCCCTATTTTCTTTTCTCCTTGAATAGTATCCCAGTCGTATTTCTGCCTCCCTTTCCATTTCACATCAGCGCTTTGCATGCCATGCGACTATGCCATTTTATCATCGTGTTTCTCTGGCCAGAGAAGAGGAGTTTGCACCAGAGTATGTGGAGCCTCAGAATTAACATGATGTTAATAATTCTTGGAGCATGAATTCTGGTCTATAATAAGTAATCGAAAAGACACTTTATATTATACAGAGTCAGATGGGGGATAAGAATATACATTTTATAGTATCTTTAAAGTAAAACATAACATTTCTAAAAAATTGTGCCATTACAGCAAATGCCAGCATTTTGGGAGACAGCATGCTCCCCCTGGGTATGGTCAGCAAACTTGTGTTTGTCATTGGGGCACCAATGGTGCCCTGTGACTTGTTAGGGGATGTGGGGTGACAGGACAGGAGGATGTTGTACTAGAAAAGTTAGAGAAAGGTAGTGGAAATTTCCTGGTATACCAAAACACATTTTGTGAGTGGGGTTATTTAAAAACAAAACTAAAGATTGTCATGTCACCTATTCAAACTCTTCATAATGCTCCTGTAATCCTTCTTTTTAGATCCCATGTTTTAGTGTTTGGTTTCTTTCTAAGGCTGATCTTCATTCTAGTCCCATTTTTTTTCCTTTTGAGATTATAATTTAATATCCTCTGCAGAGCTAATTTACATGGTGAGCTCCATGGTAAGAGAAACCATCACCTGTTTGGTAGCAAAAACAAACACAAGCATCAAGTGGCACAGAAAGAGTCTTCTTAAAACCTAAAATTGCTTATTATATATTTGACAACTGTAATAAATTCAGGGTTACCTTATGATAATAGGTATTGGTCTCTGTTGGTCAAATTAATTGCAAATGTTGATATGTAGATTTTCTTTTGAACTGACAAGTAATTCCTTCATTTTAATACCACCAAATAGAGTATCCCCCACTTCCTTGTGATGTCATGCTGAGTATATATGAAACTATTCAGCATTCAATTTGCTCATAAATTTTGACTTTTACTTTGAATCTTTGCTATAATTTCCTTCCTTTCTTTTCTTTCTCTCCTCTTTCCATGTCTATACCTATATCTACCTATATCTACACACACACTCAATTTTTCTTCAGTGGGTTTTGAGGTACTATTTAATATCTTATATAAAATATAATGCATTATATTATATATTTATATATGCAACACTTATTTTTAGGCAATACTTTAAAAACAGCAATGAGATCTAGTACTGCCAAATTATATTACAGATATATAATATTACAGAATGTTTAAAAGGGAAAATCTATCTTTACAGAGAGAATTTAATTTCATTGTTGCTCTGAATGGGTAGAATATTTTCTACAAATGTTAGGCATTATGAGGACAGGAACTGATCATGTTTGAAGATTCAAATGCCAAGGTTTTGGCATTTCCTTGCCTTTTGATAGGAACAACCCCTACAATGGGTGGTGAAGAGCAATGGGTGGGGCCATAGCAGTCAGTCGATGTGCCAATAGAGTTGATCTTCAGTGCTATCTTTGGCACATGGGTTGTGGGTTGCTTTCTGAACTAGAAAGTGGTTCTTGGCCTCTTTCTTGACTTTTGAATGAGATTTGAATTAAACACTCTGTTCAAGGTTGATAGCCAGCAAGTGCATACTATGGCAGTTGTGATTAATTGTGCCATTTCCATTTAAAGCTGTTTCTCTTCTGTCATTTAACTGCCCAATGACCATTATTACAGATCAGCTATGAAAATTAGCTGTGCCCATTATAGTCTTAGACCCATACTTGGAAGCTAGTACTGAATTTACAGCTATTTTATAAGTTTGACTTCTACATTATATTTATATTCCACTCCAATGGAAATTTATAGTTTTACCGCTATATCGACATGATGCCTTCATCTGGTGTTTAGATGAGTAGATGATATTCACTGAACGTTTCTCTATATGTCTGTCTATTGGATATTGTGTAGCTCTCTTACTATGTGTGTATGATGTGTATGAACTACACATTTGATTGTACTTGAATGGGGGAAGTTGAGGTGGAATCCAAGATAAGGTAAGATAACATCCCACTTACTTTCAGGAATAACTAAACCATCTTGCTAAGCCCATTCAAACAGTCCTATTTTCTTTTTCTCTTGAATTAGTATCCCAGTCGTATTTCTGCCCTTTCCATTTCACATCAGCGCTTTGCATGCCATGCGACTATGACATTTTATCATCGTGTTTCTCTGGCCAGAGGAAGAGGAGTTTGCACAGAGTATGTGGAGCCTCAGAATTAACATGATGTTAATAATTCTTGGAGCATGAATTCTGGTCTATAATAAGTAATCGAAAAGACAATCTTTATATTATAACAGAGTCAGATGGGGGATAAGAATATACATTTTATAGTATCTTTAAAGGTAAAACATAACATTTCTAAAAAAATGTGCCATTACAGCAAATGCCAGCATTTTGGGAGACAGCATGCTCCCCCTGGGTATGGTCAGCAAACTTGTGTTTGTCATTGGGGCACCAATGGTGCCCTGTGACTTGTTAGGGGATGTGGGGTGACAGGACAGGAGGATGTTGTACTAGAAAAGTCAGAGAAAGGTAGTGGAAATTTCCTGGTATACAAAACACATTTTGTGAGTGGGGTTATTTAAAAAACAAAACTAAAGATTGTCATGTCACCTATTCAAACTCTTCATAATGCTCCTGTAATCCTTCTTTTTTAGATACCATTTTTAGTGTTTGGTTTTCTTTCTAAGGCTGATCTTCATTCTAGTCCCATATTTTTTTCCTTATTGAGATATAATTTAATATCCTCTGCAGAGCTAATTTACATGGTGAGCTCCATGGTAAAGAGAACCATCACCTGTGTCGGTAGCATGAAACAACACGAGCATCAAGTGGCACAGAAAGAGTCTTCTT